ATATATTTTATATATATATTTACACACATGTACACATGTGATGTATGACATATGAGAGAGAATAAAATCAATGTGATAAAGTATTAACATTTGAGGTAGAAGAGTAAAGAATAAATGGAAATTCTTGGTGCTCTTTTCCTTTTTTGGATCTTTTTTAAAGTTTGAAATTATTTCAAATCAAAGTTAGAGTGAGCTGGACAGGCATGCTGTACAGGCTGGCCACTGGACAGGTCAGGCTTAGCAGTGACTCTGACACCTCCAGATAGAAGGAACACCAGTTACTTGTGTTGTGCATGGGAGGCTCTGACTCCAGAAGACAGAAGTTTTATGGGAAAGGGCTTATCAGCTGTCTAGTGAAGATGGAAGATGGGGTAGGAGTGTGGTTGTGAGACATGCACAGTGAGGACACTACCATTTTCTCTGAGGAAGGGTGAACATCTGCTTCGAATCGAAGGGAAACGGATGTAATGTGACACACACAGCCTTCTCCACCCTATTTAGGTTTTGGGGAGAGTCACAAACCCAAGAGATGGTTTATGAGCAAGATGGGAGCTGGTGCTCCTTTGCCACTGTGGCTGGGCTCAGCAAATGCCCTGCTCTAGAGTGGCACACTAAATAAACCACATCAGCCATGAGATTGGTGGCCTCCTTAAAAATCAAAAGGTCACCAGATGCTCTGCTGGAGAAGGAGGAACAATCTCCTCCTGTACCAGTCAGCCAGTCAGATCTGATTTGATGGTGTACACACACACACACACACACACACACACACACTCCACAATCAAAAGGTCAACTAATGCTCAGAAGGGAAGAGGAGAAAAGCTGGGGACAGGGAAATTTGAGTACTGGAAAGGGAGCAAACAGAACACAATTAAACTGATGACACAGTGTGATAAATACAAGCCACTGAACAATCTATGTAGAGACGGTTAAATGGGAACCGATCTTACTAAATAAATTTTACCAAAAACTCAATCAATCTCTCTCTCTCCCCCCACCACCCCACTGCACGAGACGGCCCCCACAGCTTTCTCTCTTGCTGGTTTCTTGTTTCAGCTTGCTAGACTAGTAATTACTATGAACAAAATAGAGATTGTCTTGCTTTATAACATTATTTGATTTACCAAAAAGGCACCTCTTGACCTAAAGGCCCTTAGGTTCTTATATAAAACTGAAATAAATCTTACTCTTAAAAGGTCCTTTAAAAAAACCTAAATAAATTTAGAAAACCAGCAACTCTAGTTTATCTTTCTTGCCCAGAGCTCTGAATTATGAGTGGAAAAGGATTGTGAGAGGTCACTGAGTTCATCCTCTCCCTCTACAAAAGAGTGGATCTTAATCGTTCTAGTGAGATATCTATCTGCGCTTATTTTAAGTAACTCCAAAGGAGAAGATGCTATCAATGTTTTTCAGCAGTCTACTCTATCTTCTCTCAAACCTCTGTAGCTAAGAAATTCTTCTGACTTTAAATTGAATTTCTATTGGGTTTACACTAGTTCCCATTTTACTGTAGTGTTACAAAACTCATCCCCAAGTTTCTCTTCTGAGAGGAATAACTCCAATCTGCTTTCAACTTTATAATTTTTTTTTTTTTTACACTCAAAGCACTCACCACACTTCCACTCCAGCACAAGGGCCATGTCAAGGGAACAGGAAACAAAAACTCACTATTACATCCTCAACAGTGCATTGCCAGGAAGCATGCCGATAGAAGACGGTACGCATCATGCTGCTGTCCTGAGTTTCAAAGTTTAGTTCCACAGTTCATGCTTAAGCGCACAGGAGAGATTCTAATAACATTTTCACTAAAATGGTTAAATAAAGTGTTAGCAGTTGAAAGGGAATGTCTTTGTTACTAGGCTCATCCTGTATAGAGAAAGCCCCAGGGTCAGATCATGCTGTGTACAGGTGCTACTGTATGAGAGTCTTACTTTTGTAAAGCCCTCCCTACTTTGTTGTTGTTAATTGCCGTCAAGTCCATGTTGACTCATAGCGACTCTATGAACAAAAGACCTAATGCCTTTCCATTACTATCGTTGTTTCTCCAAGTTCATAGAGTTTCCAGAGGCATGTGGTTTAGGAAGTGGATGCCACTCCTTCTTTCCAACCTGTCTTACAACTAGGAGCTCCACTCAACACTGTCCACAACATGAAACAACTATGGTATTTGATATCCCCATGGCACAAGGTTCAGCACCATAGCAAACCCAGGTTTTCTCGTACAGCACTTTGACAAAGAGTGATGTGCAAAGTAGAAGAATGTTCCTCCAGGCATAACAGAATTAGTCTCACTTAGCAGTGGTTAAGTGTTGTCGAGTTGGATATGACTCCGAGTAAGCTTTGCACAAAACATCTGAAATCTGTTCTATAATTAACATCATTTCTGTACATTTATAAGAGAGTTTGTAGAGTTTCCAGAGGCATCCAGTTTAAGAAGTGGTTGCCACTCCTGCTTCCCAAAATGAATCAATCTGGAAGCTCATCCAACCATTGTACATAATGGGTAACCATTATGGTATTTGAAATGACTATGGAATAGTGTTCAGCATCACAGCAACTCCAAGTTATTTAGTATAGCAAGTAGACAAATGATTGCTATATCTTTAAAAGAATATTCTTCTAAAATTATTACGTTTGGCCCTCGGGCCCTACAGGATTTTAGAGTCACACCCTCGAGTAGGTCTCCACCTTTACCCTTAGTCTAAAGTTCAAGGCTACCCACTTTTGAGGGAGAAAAAGAACAGTAACACACAACAGAGATGACCCCAGAAACTTCCCTTGCCTGAATGCCACCAAGACGTCAGCCAGCCAGCAAACTACAAGAGTAGGGAGAGACTCAAATGGCCCAGGCCTCACTCAGGCCAGCCTTCTTTTATAAAATTACTATGGGCCATAACGGGTATCATTTCTGAAGTTCAATTCTTACGAACAACAAGAAAAAAAAATTAAAAATTTCAGATTATTAATGAGTTGTCCTACCGGACACAAGGAAGAAAGTATTTAAGGAGTTTATACTGAGTTGGAAATATGACACAGGTAAAAAAATCAGCATAAAAAATGAATGTAACTGGGGGTGGGCAGGCAGGGAGAAAAGTGCATCAATGAATGAATGGAAATACAAAATCTCTGTAAATGTTCATTAAAATTAATAAAATTTTAAAAAGTGAATGTAATTAAGTGCTATAATGCAGAGCTATGGTGCCAAGAAGGGACTGAAATGAAATTCTAGGAGATGGGATTATAAAGAAGGAGCATTTGAGCTGGTGCTTTATAATAGACATCGAACAGAGAACGTTAGGGAGAGGAAGAGTTTATTAAAGGCACAGATATGTTATACACAGAGAATGGAGGTATGAGAACATGCCTGGACAGAGGACAAAGGAGACGGACTTTTCTTATGGACAAAAACGTGTACAAGATAGATTAGACTATAAAAATGTAAAATGTGAATGGCTATTTTATTCACACCAGAAAGTTGAAATATTTACTGAAAATTTATGACTAGCAGCCACAGAAAATTTCAGAACAAGACAAGTGGTTTTGTCCTGAGGAGTGATCGCAGCTTGGATTCTGTACAATATGGATCTGTATTTATGGATCAGGGTGAAGTCTCTCTCAGGGAGGAGTGACAGGGAATAGCAAAGGACAC